CAAACAAGTCATTCGGGAGAAGACAACTGATGGCACCTGAATTCATAGCAACAAAAACGGCTTTACTGACAAGATGCGCGTTAAATATCGCATGCGATTTATCGTGCAGCCCTATTGTAAACCATATTTTACTCTCAGTTGGTGCACAGCAAGTGTTAATTAGTGGTGTTTACTAAAGCAAGCATCACTAGTACTGTTGCTTATGCTTTTGATCTCCAACCCAGCTTCAGCGGGTCCTGCACTGTTTGGGGTTCAGACATAATGACACCTCATATTGTTTGGCTTTTTAGTCGTGTGTGAGGTGTGTTATTACTTTAGGCGATCCGACTCTCAAAATTCGCCTGGAGGATCATAAAATGAGAAAACAAAAATCCCAGAGGTTTATATTAAAAGTCATATCTAGAGACCAGAATCCAGTAGAGAAATACAGATGTGGGCTCTTTTCTCATGATGTGTGAGTAATTAATGACAGAATTTTCATTTTTGGGTGAACTAACCCTTTAACCCATCTATTATTACGCAATTCCAAAAAGCTTCCAACCAGCTGGACAAGTAACTCATTGTAAACTAGGGCTGCACGATAAATCTGATTACAGAACCGGCTTTACTGATAAGATGCGCGTTAAATATCGCATGCGATTTATCGTGCAGCCCTATTGTAAACCATATTTTACTCTCAGTTGGTGCACAGCAAGTGTTAATTAGTGGTGTTTACTAAAGCAAGCATCACTAGTACTGTTGCTTATGCTTTTGATCTCCAACCCAGCTTCAGCGGGTCCTGCACTGTTTGGGGTTCAGACATAATGACACCTCATATTGTTTGGCTTTTTAGTCGTGTGTGAGGTGTGTTATTACTTTAGGCGATCCGACTCTCAAAATTCGCCTGGAGGATCATAAAATGAGAAAACAAAAATCCCAGAGGTTTATATTAAAAGTCATATCTAGAGACCAGAATCCAGTAGAGAAATACAGATGTGGGCTCTTTTCTCATGATGTGTGTGGCACAGTCTCCATCTTTATAATAGTTTTTTTTTTTTTTTTTTACACAAATGAAGGACTTTTGTTTACAAGTTATGATACCTAAATCTTGTTGAGGAGAGTTTGCTATTATTATTCTGAGTAATCAGGTCATGTTTTGCTTTTGGTGGCAAGTAAAATAAAAAATGAAATAAAATATAGCGTAAATACAGTAAAATATAAATAAAATATTAACTATTTTCATCTAATATTTATATTTTTTATTTCAATTAATTTTTAATAGCTTTAGTTAGGGTTGCAAAGGGGTGGAACATTTCTGGTAAATTTCCGGAAACTTTCCAAAAATCCATTTTAAAAAAATCCTGGAAAGTTTCCAAAATTTCTGGAATTTTTCCGAAATTTACTGGCAATTTTCCACCTTTTTGCGACCCTAGTTTTAGTTAACAATAGCAACACTGTTAGCAGCATAAAATCATTCAGAACTCTTTAGTAATTACATTGCCCTTTCCAAGTTATTCAAGCGAAAGTACCACTCATATTTTCTTAAATCTAGTCATTGGAGCCTGCGGTTTCTGATTCTCTTGGTTTTCGTTTGCTCTCTGCAGTCGGAACCAGTTGTCCACTCTTCCTGCTCATCTGTGCCGTCTGCCGCTCAAAGTTCTGATCGCCTGCAATAACAAGCTGGTATCGCTGCCGGAGGATCTGGGCAAACTCAGACAGCTCACCGAACTGGTGTGTGGTGTGTCATCTTCACATTTGCTCTCACTCATGCACATTACTCATCACTTCTCTCTCTCTCTCTCGCTTCAAGGACGTCAGCTGTAATGAGATCCAGACGCTTCCTCCACAGATCGGTCAGCTGGAAGCTCTGCGCGACCTCAACATCCGCAGAAACCACCTCGTTCGCCTGCCTCCTGGTCAGAAACGCAAGCACCTGCACCTGAATGAAATGAGTGACGTTTTTGTGTTGATGTTGTTGTGTCATTTCTGTGTTCATCGGTTTGCAGAGTTGGCCGAGCTGCCGTTGGTCCGGCTTGATTTTTCCTGTAACAAGGTAACGACGATCCCAGTATGCTACCGCAATCTCAGACACCTCCAGAGCATCATTCTGGACAACAATCCTCTCCAGAGCCCACCTGCACAGGTAACACACATTCCTGTTTTGATCCAAGAAATACGTCACTTTATAAGAGTAAAAATATTTTTGCATTGCCTTTGAGAACTGTTTAAAAGCTAAGAGCACCTCTGAGAAAGAATCATGGTTATTGGTGTGTTTTTCCGTTTTTTTCCAGATCTGTATAAAGGGAAAGATCCATATATTTAAATATCTGAACATGGAGGCATGTAAAGCAGCATCAGACCTTCCAGACTACGACAGAAGGCCACTGCCTTTCGGATCCTGGTAAGAACTCGCTTCATTTCACTGGGTTTTGTGAGCATAAACTCCTCCTTGTCTTTCACTCTCGCACCCACATTAACTTGAGCCGGTGTTTATCGGCCGTATCTCTCAGAGGACACGCAAGGCAGGGCGATTCTGCAGATAAGAAGGGAGGGAAAGGAAAAGACACAGACAGAATGAAAGCTTGGATTGATTGGAATGAAGGTATGAAGAGAGGAGAGATTGCAGCAAAACCGGATGACGTTAGATGAGATGATGTAGAGATCAAACTTCTCAGTAAATCTGACAGAAACTTATATGTGGATCTTCTATACAAGGAGCCACAGTGGTTCTCAAGATGTTTGTGGTAAAAGCACCATCTTTATAAGGATACATACATTAAGTGGTTACAAATTATGATGCCTAAAATGTTGCTGTTACTTTTCTGAATAATCAGGTTATTATTTGTGGTGGCAAATAAAATATAAAATAATAAAAAATAAAATAAAATAAAATAAAGTACAAAATAAAAAAGGTATAAAATAAAAAAGCAAAATAAAATTAAATAAATGGGCGAAAAACATCAACTTGAGGCCAGAAAATCAAAAACTTGAGCTAAAATAAAATACAGAATATAAAATACAATACAATTAAAATAATATAAAAGGTTAAAAACTGTACAGACTTGAAGCTGGAAAATCAAGGACTTGAGATAAAGTAAAGTAAAATAAAATAAATGGGTGAAAAAACGGCACAGACTTGAGAGCAGAAAATCAAAGACTTGAGATAAAGTAAAATTAAATATAGAATATAAAATAAAATAAAATAAAATACAATAAAAATAAAATAAACATAAATGGGTGAAAAAACAGCACAGACTTGAGAGCAGAAAATCAAAGACTTGAGATAAAATAAAATATAGAATATAAAATAAAATAATATACAACAAAATTAAAATAAAATAATTAAAGGGAGACAATACCACAGAATTATATTAGAGGAGGGACCCAAGCCATATCTAGACACCAGAAAATCAAAAAGATATTTTACTCTCATCTCTTGTAGGATGATATGGGTGTTAGAAAGTAATTTTAGACCTTTAGCAGTCTATTTATGACCCTGGACCACAAAACCAGTCATAAGGGTCAATTTTTCGAAATTGAGAATTATACATCAGCTGAAAGCTGAATAAATAAGCTTTCCATTGATGTATGGTTTGTTAGGATAGGACAATATTTGGCTGAGATACAACTATTTGAAAATCTGGAATCTAGAGGGTGCAAAAAAATCTAAATATTGAGAAAATCATCTTTAAAGTTGTTCAAATGAAGTTCTTAGCAATGCATATTACTAATCAAAAATTCAGTTTTGATATATTTACGGTAGGAAATTTACTAAATATCTTCATGGAACATGATCTTTACTTAATATCCTAATGATTTTTGGCATAAAAGAAAAATCTATAATTTTGACCCATACAATGTATTTTTGGCTATTGCTACAAATATACTCCAGAGACTTAAGACTGCTTTTGTGCTCCAGGCTCACATTTCTATGTGTGAAATCTCAGATGATTTGATGTGGCTCTCTCTGATCTGTCTGTCTCTCAGTGCAGAGGATTTGTGTTCTGGCCGGCTGTACGGAGCTCTGGACTCTGGCTTTAACAGTGTGGACAGTGGAGACAAGAGGTGGTCTGGAAATGAGGCAAGTGCTGTTCTGATCACTCAATCAGCAATCCACTCTATCCAGCTGTTACTCTCCATAATGTAGCACTCATTTCATTGTCCTGTTCTGCCTTTTCCCCATCTATCCTTTCTTAAAGCCTTCAGACGAGTTGTCAGACTTGCCTTTAAGAGTGGCGGAAATCACCAGAGAGCAAAGACAGAGACGAGATCGAGAAAGAGAACGTGAGGATCATTGGACGGGGTCTCACGTAACCAATGGCGCATGTGAGATGACATCTACACTTATGAATCACTATAGTTCAGACTCTAGTAATAAGCTCTACAGGATTTTAATTTTAAATCACCTTGTCGTCTCTTTCTAAAGTGGAAGCAGAGCTTGAACAGATAGACTTCATTGATAGCTGTACGGGGGATGATGAGGATGAGGATGGGTGGAGCCGTAAAGGGGCGGAGCCTGTCAGCCTCAGCTCACAGTTTATGGCCTACATTGAAAGACGAATCACCAGAGAGGTGCGCATTACTGATTAATAGCTGATCACATCAGGTCTACTCAACACCAGTTGGATTTTGTTGTTAACACGGGGATAATGATAGCATTACTTTGTTTCTAGGGGTCACCCGTGAAGACCAGCCCATCCAGAGACTTAAGAACTGATGATCCAAGACGCCAAATCTCCTTACATAACCGGTACTAAACTAATGAAACTTTCATGATAAGTACGATGTATAATATACATTTGCACTCCACCATAAGCAATAATGATCTTGTTTTTCATGTCTATTTCCCGTCTGCTTTGACTAGCTGAAAAATCATAAATTCAATCATTAGTAATATGATTTATTGGTTTATCAATTTTTACCAATAGGTGGCACTGTTGTCAAATTGATGTGGTGTTGTCAGTGTTAGGTGACAATGACACACATAAAGTTTGGTGTCAATATGTCAAAGCTTTGCAGAGATACAGCATCAGATGCAGTTTGGCACCATGCCATCAAATTTGTTAATGCGGTAAACGGAAACTGTTTCGCCAATCAACACGAAATTCATAACTTTTTGCTGACTTGGTCTGAAGATGATTTGGGTCAAATTTTGTGAAAATTGGACATGCGGTCTCGGAGGAGTTCCAAAAAGTAGGTTTTCAACGTAAATCGAAATGGCTGACACAAAGTTCAGCTGATTATGGCATAATTGGTATAAATGTTCTCAGCATGATGCAAGGAATCTGTCAAGACTAGTAGCATTATAATAGGCAAAACTAATCAAAAGCTATTCGAATTTTTTGAAATTTCATTATAATTAATAACCACATGGTGGCGCCGCCACAAAACTTTTTGAGTACCAGGTTTCGTAATGATATGCCAAAGAGTTCGTAAAATACAGCATTTTTGACAAAATTCATAATGGTCGACATGGGAAAATTGGGTATTGTATGACTGAATCTAAAGAGACCAGTCTTTTTTTTTTTTTTTTGGGCCAAACTGTTCAGAAATTCTAAGCAAAAATGCATGCAAACTGTGCATGTAACCTCAGGTCATGGTTATTATAACACACACCAAGTTTGGTCTCAATACGCTAAACCGTTGCGGAGATATAGGCTCACGTCCATTTTGCCGTGCTCTGTCAAATTCGTTCACACGTTATTTCAAGAATGGTTTGACTAATCATCTTGAATTCCATAACTTTTTGCCAGCATAATCTAAAGATGATCAGAAAAAAAAAATATTTTGCATCTAAACTTTATGGTTCAAAAGTTATTAGCATAAACATTAGTGCAAATTTGTCCTGTTGGTGGCGCTAGAGGGTTTGAGTTAGAGACTCCAAACTTGCTATGGTTAATGTTGAGACTGTCCTATATCTGCGTGCCAAATTTTATAACTTTCCCGCAAGCAGTTTTATGGGCCGCCATAGACTTCCCAAGAAGAACGCCAACTATTACAATGGGTGCCTACGAACCATCGGTGCTTGGCCGCTAAAAAATTAAGAATTAGAAATCAAACAGAGAAGTAAAATATCTGTTTTCACTAACAATTGTTGTCTCTTTAGTGGTGGCTCAGATACAGCGGTCACATCTTCATACGCTCATAATCAGGTGAGAGTCCCTGTACATTCACATCTCGTTATGCAGTCAATGAAATTTACTGTGAAATTTACTGAATTTACTCTGGTTGTGTGTCAGCGTTCTGGTGGCGGTGTGGAGAGAGTGAGACGGGAAGCTCAGCTGGCAGCTCTGCGGTACGAGGAGGAGAGACAGAAAACAAGATCAGTGCAAAGAGACGCCGTTATGAATTACGTCAAGGTATACACACAATTATTAATGCATTTGCAAAAAAAGTGCTGCAAACTCTAAATTAGAAAAGAGTTGCTTGAGTATGATTATAAACACAATGAGTCTGTAAAAGGTATGACTTTACCTGTTCGGTGTGATGATGTTTAATGTCCCCAGCAACCTCTGTTGTCGTATTTAGCCATTTATTAGCAAATGCTTTTTCACGACATATAAAAAAAACAATAAAAAAAGTGGGTATTACTGATGAAGATTCATCATTTACTCATCAATTATTTATCCTCAAGTTTTTCCAAGCTTATATGAGTTTCTTTCTTCTGTTGAACACAAAAAAAAGTTATTTTGGAGAATGTTGGTAACCAGACAGTTGACGGTACCCATTGACTTCTATAGTATGGAAAAAAATACTATGGAAGTCAATGGCTACCGTCAACTGTTTGCTTACCAACATTATTCAAAATATCTTCTTTTGTGTTCAACAGAAGAAAGAAACTCATATAAGCTTGGAACAACTTGAGGATGAGTAAAAGATTACCATTTTCATTTTTGGGTGAACTATCCCTTTAAGTCTTGTCTACTAAAAGCTTCCCAATAGTTAACAAAATGTGACCCTGGAGCACAAAACCAGTCTCAAGTCGCTGGGGTATATTTGTAGCAATAGCCAAAAATACATTGTGTGGGTCAAAATTATTGATTTTTCTTTTATGCCAAAAATCATTTTTTTTTTTTTTGGGCCAAACTGTTCAGAAATTCTAAGCAAAAATGCATGCAAACTGTGCATGTAACCTCAGGTCATGGTTATTATAACACACACCAAGTTTGGTCTCAATACGCTAAACCGTTGCGGAGATATAGGCTCACGTCCATTTTGCCGTGCTCTGTCAAATTCGTTCACACGTTATTTCAAGAATGGTTTGACTAATCATCTTGAATTCCATAACTTTTTGCCAGCATAATCTAAAGATGATCAGAAAAAAAAAATATTTTGCATCTAAACTTTATGGTTCAAAAGTTATTAGCATAAACATTAGTGCAAATTTGTCCTGTTGGTGGCGCTAGAGGGTTTGAGTTAGAGACTCCAAACTTGCTATGGTTAATGTTGAGACTGTCCTATATCTGCGTGCCAAATTTTATAACTTTCCCGCAAGCAGTTTTATGGGCCGCCATAGACTTCCCAAGAAGAACGCCAACTATTACAATGGGTGCCTACGAACCATCGGTGCTTGGCCGCTAAAAAATTAAGAATTAGAAATCAAACAGAGAAGTAAAATATCTGTTTTCACTAACAATTGTTGTCTCTTTAGTGGTGGCTCAGATACAGCGGTCACATCTTCATACGCTCATAATCAGGTGAGAGTCCCTGTACATTCACATCTCGTTATGCAGTCAATGAAATTTACTGTGAAATTTACTGAATTTACTCTGGTTGTGTGTCAGCGTTCTGGTGGCGGTGTGGAGAGAGTGAGACGGGAAGCTCAGCTGGCAGCTCTGCGGTACGAGGAGGAGAGACAGAAAACAAGATCAGTGCAAAGAGACGCCGTTATGAATTACGTCAAGGTATACACACAATTATTAATGCATTTGCAAAAAAAGTGCTGCAAACTCTAAATTAGAAAAGAGTTGCTTGAGTATGATTATAAACACAATGAGTCTGTAAAAGGTATGACTTTACCTGTTCGGTGTGATGATGTTTAATGTCCCCAGCAACCTCTGTTGTCGTATTTAGCCATTTATTAGCAAATGCTTTTTCACGACATATAAAAAAAACAATAAAAAAAGTGGGTATTACTGATGAAGATTCATCATTTACTCATCAATTATTTATCCTCAAGTTTTTCCAAGCTTATATGAGTTTCTTTCTTCTGTTGAACACAAAAAAAAGTTATTTTGGAGAATGTTGGTAACCAGACAGTTGACGGTACCCATTGACTTCTATAGTATGGAAAAAAATACTATGGAAGTCAATGGCTACCGTCAACTGTTTGCTTACCAACATTATTCAAAATATCTTCTTTTGTGTTCAACAGAAGAAAGAAACTCATATAAGCTTGGAACAACTTGAGGATGAGTAAAAGATTACCATTTTCATTTTTGGGTGAACTATCCCTTTAAGTCTTGTCTACTAAAAGCTTCCCAATAGTTAACAAAATGTGACCCTGGAGCACAAAACCAGTCTCAAGTCGCTGGGGTATATTTGTAGCAATAGCCAAAAATACATTGTGTGGGTCAAAATTATTGATTTTTCTTTTATGCCAAAAATCATTAGGATATTAAGTAAAGATCATGTTCCATGAAGATATTTTGTAAATGGCCTACCATAAATATATCAAAACTTAATTTTTGATTAGTAATATGCATTGCTAAGAACTTCATTTGCACAACTTTAAAGATGATTTTCTCAATATTTAGATTTTTTTGCACCCTCAGATTCCAGATTTTCAAATAGTTGTATCTCAGCCAAATATTGTCCTATCCTAACAAACCATACATCAATGGAAAGCTTATTTATTCAGCTTTCAGATGATGTATACATCTCAATTTCGAAAAATTGACCCTTATGACTGGTTTTGTGGTCCAGGGTCACAAATATAATGGCATTTAGTATAACGAGAGTTACCGCAATAATACATCAAGATGCTCTGAAGGGCGAAAATTGATCTTCAGCATCCAAATCCCGATTGAAACTCTCCCCAAATGTGTCCGGTGATGTTTCTAGAGATAGTAAATCTTGTATTTTCAGCACAAGTCGTCTCAGAGCCCAACGAAGCCCAGTCCGACAGACAGTGAGGTGAGTGTCTCCTTCACATTTACACAATCACTTCCTCCCTATCCATCACTTCATCCTGCTGTGTGTGTGAATGTGAGTGTGTGGCGCTGTAGTCATATGCATACTGTCCCACCCCAGAGTCTGTACCCCTCCAGACGGTCCACTCACACCGATGACTCCGCCCTCTTCATGGTAAGAGCCAATCAGCTCAGATCATGCGTCATCCTCTGCACCATCTCATTTCTCTTGTGTGTTCACTTCCCTTAACAGATGTCACTATTGTGCTTTTTAACTTTGCATAATGTATTAACACGATTTAAGGTTATTTATAATCGAAACTGCTTTTCTGATCCATTTAAGCTGTTAACATCCTTTAAAGTTGCACTCAGTAATTAAAAAGTTTACTCATAAGTTATTTAATTGTTCTTTTGACACATGATTAAAATGGTGACTAGTGGCAAGAAAGCTGTTTTGTTAAGACATGACCAGCCTTATCTTGTAATTGATAGTTATTACTATCTAATTATTATTAAAACTTGCTGAGTGCATCTTTAATATTAGATCTGCTTTTCCCGGCGAGCATCTTTAACACTCCTGCCCTGCTTTTTTTTGCTTCCCTTCCTGTCTTTCTCTCTTTCTCTCTCTGTCATGTTGGTTCTGTGTCAGAGTGAGTTTGAGCCCCTACTGATATTTGAGATAGACACAGGTACCAACACTATAAAGAAGAGGCCAGACCCTCACAAACAGGTGAAAGACACACAGACATGTTTACTAGCTAGCAGTCTAAATGGGAGCCTACCATACACTGCTGTTGATTAATGCTGATTCACAATTAGTATTGCTCATAATTAGGGTTAGGGGCATTAATAAACCAAAAAACCTTTGTATTAAACTTTTTGCATGTTGCAAAGCTACTCACAAATTTTCAGTTTTCATTTTATTTATTTGTTTTTTGTTCGTTTGTTTTTTTAGAGACTGGAGATGATCTGCCTCCATCACTCTAGATGCAAATAAGCTTATTATGGATGTTGTTGTTTTTTATTTGACAATTTCATTCTCAAAAATTGTTGTAAGCTAGTAAATTAAATAATAATAATATAATAATTTATCTGTTTGTTTGTAACCTGTAGATGATCTCAAAAATGATTTTAGGCTTGTAAATGTAAGTAATAATATATATATATATATATATATATTTTATTTATCTGTTTGTTTGTAACCTGTAGATGATCTCAAAAATGATTTTAGGCTTGTAAATGTAAGTAATAATATATATATATATATATATATTTTATTTATTTGTTTGTTTGTAGCCTGGAGATGATCCGCCACCATTACTTTTTCTATAAATACAAATAATCTTATAACAAATATTCTCAATATTTATTTATTTGTTTTTTCTTTTGTTTGCAGCCTAGAGATGATTTACCTACATTTTATTTCTGTACATTCAAATAAATTTATTATGGATTTTTCTTGATGATTTTACTCTCGGAACTTATTTTAGGCTTGTACATTTAAATAATAATAATTTTTATTTATTTATTATTTGTTTGTTTGTAGCCTGGAGATGATCCACCTCCATCACTTTGTTTCTATAAATGCAAATGATCTTATTATGCATGTTTCCTAATGATTTATTTAAATTTTAACAATCATCATCATCATTTAAAATTTGTTATTTTTTAATTTAAGCTGATTATGACCCCTAAAAGAAAGCATTTTACATTTGTTTTAGCGTTTTTCCTGCAGCATTTTCAGTAACAAACTTTAAAATCTTTTACTCTTCTTAAAGGTCCCATATTTTACACCTTTTGATGTCCTTAAGAATATATATTTGCGGTATAAGTACCAAAAACCATCTCAATATATTTTTACAGCTCCTTTCTCAGGAGCTCTGCTGAGATCAGGTCGATTTTGGTCTGTCTAATTAATATTCATGAGCCTCTCTTCTGATTGGCATGTTGTGTTCTGAGTGACGCACGGCCAGGCCAACCACAGGTAACTAGGGTCAGCGACGTCACAGCGCTAGTGTGTAGTTTTGACGTCAACTTTTTACGGAAGTCACAACGGTTCGTGAAAAATAGCTAGAACTTTAAGCAGGCTGTGTGAATTTTACTGTGGACTGACTGTTTTGAAACTTATATGGTAGTTAAATAGCTCCTAGACCTCAGTAATCGTGAAAAAAGCCAGGAAATTTCAGTTTTGACAATATGGGACCTTTAAACTTTCTCAAACCCTCTGTTTATTTCCTAACTTCGCTCCTTTATTTCCCCTCGTTTCGTATATTTCTCCCTCTCTGCATTGCTCTGGCTGGCTAGTCTCTCTCTGCTGTGCCGCTGGATGGCCGTGTGTCTCCCACTTTATCCGTGGCCTCCTGTATGCCACAGGTACTGAACCGCAAGAGCCTGGAGATGATCTGCCTCCATCACTTTATCTCTATAGATGCTAATAAGCTTACTGTGGATGATTTTACTTTCATAAATTCACTACACAAAGATACTGCTGTTGCATTCAGACCTAATTCCCTGACATAACCAGGCAGAATGCAGTAAATAATGAGTTTAATCCTAACCAGCCACAACTGCGACAAGCATTGAATAACAAAATATCTGTTTTTGGCTCCTTGGTTCTTGTTTTTGTGACAAAAAAATCTGATATCTAATCGTGTTAATACCGTGTTTGACTGTAATAAACATCAAATATTTTGTGACTGACTGATTTTGTGAGCAGTATTTCCATTATTTGAGGAAATGATGCTGGATAGGTGTCACGTCATGCCTGTTTAGGACACAGTGTAAGATTTCAGCTGATGCATGCGCATGTTTGTTTAGGGTTTGGACGTTCTCACATCAAAAACGTGTTGTAAAAATGAGGGCGAACCTCACAAAAACTGCCAAGAAATGTGATCCTGGACCACAAAACCAGTCATAATGGTCAATTTTTCAAAATTGAGATGTATGCATCATCTGAAAGCTGAATAAATAAGCGTTGCATTGATGTATGGTTTGTTAGGATCGGACAATATTTGGCTGAGATACAACTATTTGAAAATCTGGAATCTGAGGGTGCAAAAAAATCTAAATATTGAGAAAATCATCTTTAAAGTTGTCCAAATGAAGTTCTTAGCAATGCATATTACTACTAAAAAATTAAGTTTTGATATATTTACGGTAGGAAATTTACAAAATATCTTCATGGAACATGATCTTTACTTAATATCCTAATGATTTTTGGCATAAAAGAAAAATCTATAATTTTGACCCATACAATGTATTGTTGGCTATTGCTCCAAATATACCCCAGCGACTTATATCTGCTTTTGTACTCCAGGGTCAGAAATATCTGTGATGGACATCTTTCTAAGATTCACGCCACAGATACACTGCTCGTTATTCATGTTATTTCCACTGATTTTGCCTTTTTATTTTTTCTCTTTCCTTCTGTAGCAAGGAGAAGATTATGGCTCGCTGTCTCCCACCGGTATGTGTTTGTTTAAATCAGACTTGATCTTCCTCTTTCCTTCTGTTTTGCCATTTAATTCTTTGCCCCACATCCCATTGTGACTTTTTGCTGGTCTTGCAGGCCTCCAGTCCCCGTCTCCCTCCCGTGGCCCCAGCCAGAGACCTGAGAGTTACCTCTTCTGCCTCAGTCAGCGAGAGGAGAAGAAAAAAGGTTTGTTTATCTGACGCAGCCGATTGCTGCTTTGTGAGACTTTCATAATGTCATGAATAAACATATGATGCACACACATACACTATCGGTCAAAAGTTTGGGATCAGAACGATTTTTAATGTTTTTAAAATCTAATTTATTTCTGTGATGCGCAGCTGAATTTTCAGAATCATTACTCCAGTCTTCAGTGTCACATGATTTTCAGAAATCATTCTAATATGCTGATTTATTATCAGTTATGCTGCTTCATATTTTTTTGGAACCTGTGATACTTTTTTTTTAGATTTATATTTTGAATAAATGCTGTTCTTTTGAACTTTTTATTCATCAAAGAATCCTGAAAAAAAGTATCGCAGTTTCCAAAAAAATATTTGGCAGCACAACATTGATAATTCTAGTAATAAATCAGCATATTAGAATGATTTCTGAAGATCATGTGACACTTTATACTGGAGTAATGATGCTGAAAATTCAGCTTTGCATCACAGAAATAAATTATATTTTAAAGGATATTAAAATAGAAACCATTATTTTATATTGTAATAACATTTTGCAAGATTACTGTTTTTTCTGTATTTTTGATCAAATAAATGCAGCCTTGATGAGCAGAACGACATTAAAAATCGTTCTGATCCCAAACTTTTGACCGGTAGTGTATATACACTATATTGCCAAAAGTATTGGGACCCCCCCTTCTAATGTTTGACTACTTTAGTAATTTCCATGAGTACAAATCTTAATGTTTAAACATATAATGCTATTCTAGGGAATTGTGTGCTTCTAATTTTATAGCAACAGTTTGGACAGGATCCTGTTCTATTCTAACATGACAATGCCTCTGTGTATAAGTCAAGGTTCAAAAAGAAATGATTGATTGAGTCAGTGTGGAAGAACTTGACTGGTCTGCAGAAAGCAGCTTTAAATGCAGACCTTGAGCCAAAAACTCATCAGCAAACACCAATGACTTATACATACACTATATGGACCAAAGTATTGGGACACCCCCTTCTTTAGAACAGAAAAAGACACTTCCAGACAAAAATGGAAACATAATTCATGTATTTAAAAATGTTATTTCCATCTCTGTTGCAACAGTTTTGAAGGTGTGTCTAAAATGACTGTACCCATATGTGAAGCGCATGAATCAGTGTCAGTATATATTTTAATATTTTTGAATATTTCTGAAGTATTGCGTTTTATCAGTTACATTTAGGGAATAATATGTATGTTAATGTATTGCTGTTTCCTAAACCTCAGGAAAAAATGGAAGAACATAGTGTTGCACTGTTGCCTTCTTAACATTTACTTTGATGCTCTTTGCTTTGAATCTCATGTTGTGATGATGTGTTCAAGACAAACTAGTTGGTTTGTCTTGAACTCTTAAATGAAGAATTGAAGAATGCAATGCTTATGGAGAAAATGTGAGAAATACTTCAATATATTTTAATATTTTTGAATATTTCTGAAGTATTGCGTTTTATCAGTTACATTTAGGGAATAATATGTATGTTAATGTATTGCTGTTTCCTAAACCTCAGGAAAAAATGGAAGAACATAGTGTTGCACTGTTGCCTTCTTAACATTTACTTTGATGCTCTTTGCTTTGAATCTCATGTTGTGATGATGTGTTCAAGACAAACTAGTTGGAACACAAGTCACTGAAAAAGAGGCAGTGTTGTTATTGTTAATTTAGTTATTTACTGTATATAGTTATTATTTTTTGTTAGTTTTTGTTAATTTAAAGAAATCAGAAATAAAATAAAATATAAATATTAAATGAAAAACTTAAAAAGTTGAAGCACTAAAAATGACTAAAACTAAAACTGAAATAAATATAAATTAAATTGAGAAATAAAAATACTTATACAAATGCCAAAAGCACTTAACAAAATGACTAAAACTGAAAATGCTATAATAATAATGCTAGTGTATAAATAATCAAATATCACTGAAAAATGGGTAGTCACTGTAGCGCTCGTTACAAGCGTGTCAATCATTGCTCCTGATTGCTACTTGTTTATGTAATTATGTGCAGAAGAATCAGGCACACAGAAGGCGGAGCCAGTGGAAGCCACGCCCACACAGAGTCCCGCCCCCACGGGACAGGAGGCTATGCTGATAGAGCAGCTGAGAAGGGTGCGTCAAACAAACCGCTTTTCCATCATGTATTATTTATTTATTGATTATACATACATGCATACATATATAAATATATATACACACTACCAGTCAAAAGTTTTTGAACAGTAAGATTTGAATGTTTTTTTTAAAGAAGTCTCTTCTGCTCACCAAGCCTGCATTTATTTGATCCAAAGTACAGCAAAAACGGTAATATTGAAATATTGAAAAAAAATTGAAATATTTTTACTATTTAAAATAACTGCTTTCTATTTGAATATATTTTAAAATGTAATTTATTCCTGTGATTTCAAAGCTGAATTTTTAGCATCATTACTCCAGTCACATGATCCTTCAGAAATCATTCTAATATTCCGATTTGCTGCTCAAAAAGCATTTATTATTATTATAGAATTTTTCAGGTTTCTTTGATGAATACAAAGTTCAGAAGAACAGCATTTATCTGAAATAGAAATCTTTTGTGACATATCTCTGTATATGTCTTTATCATCACTTTTGATCAATTTAAAGCATCCTTGCTAAATAAAAGTATTCATTTCTATAATTTCTTTCCCAAAAAACAAAAAAAAAAATATATACTGACTCAAGCTTTTGAATAGTATAGTGTATAATGTTACAAAAGCGTTTTATTTCAGATAAATGCTGATCTTTTGATCTTTCTATTCATCAAAGAATCCTGAAAAAAATATACTCAACTGTTTTCAATATTGATAATAATAATAAAAAAAAAATTCTTGAACAGCAAATTAGCATATTAGAATGATTTCTGAAGATCATGTCAATATTTGGCTGAGATACAACTATTTGAAAATCTGGAATCTGAGGGTGCAAAAAAATCCAAATATTGAGAAAGTCATCTTTAAAGTTGTCCAAATGAAGTTCTTAGCAATGCATATTACTAATCAAAAATTAAGTTTTGATATATTTATGGTAGGACATTTACAAAATATATTTATGGAACATGATCTTTACGTAATATCCTAATGATTTTTGGCATAAAAGAAAAATGTATAATTTTGACCCATACAATGTATTGTTGGCTATTGCTACAAATATACTTTATAGCTTTTGTGGTCCAGGGTCACATATATACATAATTATTATAATTTTTTTTACAAATTATTTCTGCTGTAAGTCTTATTTTGCAACCCTGTAGAATATCGAGTGTCGACTCAAGGTGTCCTTACCCAGTGATCTTGGGGCAGCTTTGACTGACGGGGTCGTGTTGTGCCATCTGGCCAACCACGTACGTCCCCGATCCATACCGAGCATCCATGTACCCTCACCGGCAGTGGTGAGACACTTTCTGGGTTTATTTTAGTTTTTGTGTACGTGCATAGGATTGCATCGGCTTCATGTTTTCTTTCCTTCCAGCCCAAACTGACGATGGCCAAGTGTCGACGTAATGTAGAGAACTTCCTAGAGGCCTGCCGCAGAATTGGAGTTCCTCAGGTATTCTTTAAAACCAAATTAAGAAAAAACGTCTGTTTCATATTTGCTTCAAACCTAGCATCTCTTGCTGTTTCCTCTAGTGCCTTCAAGTGTAATCGCTAATACTACTAACTCTTTCTCTCCCTCCATTCCCTTCCAATTTAAAACCATCAACCCCTCATTGTGTTTTATTTGAACGCTCCTTTTCCTCCTCGTCTTGGCTCTGCGGGCAGGATAGTTTGTGTTCAGCGGGTGACGTCCTAAAAGGGGAGGTGGTTTGTGTGTTTAGGCTGGTTGAGGCCTTGCTCTCTCTGGCACCGCCTCCCTTTCGCTCCACCCCTTCTTCCCAGCTGGCTGGATTTGCTCTTTTCTACCTGTCAATCATGTCGCTGCTATGCGCTCTCTACTGCCACCTGGTGCCAAGCCTTTAAATTGCACTTCCATGTTGCTCACTGCACTAAAATAGCCAATTGTTTGTCTTTGGGCAGAATTACACAATAGCTGGCGTTTACGCACACAGATGTTACGTTTATAGTGTTTTCTAGTGCACATAATCGATACTTCGCTAAGCTCCGCCCCCTCTGCGTATAGTTGCTTGCTTAGGCTTTATAAAATAACATTCATGCAAATTTCTTAAAGGGATACAATTTGGTTTAATGGTATTAATACATGGACTGGAAAGAATTGTGATGAAAGAATGTGCTGTTTCTTTAAAGGAAATTATTTGCACTACTGTTCCGAAGCAGAGCTTTAGCATCATTACTCCAGTCACATGATCCTTCAGAAATCATTCTAATATTCCGATTTGCTGCTCAAAAAGCATTTATTATTATTATAGAATTTTTCAGGTTTCTTTGATGAATACAAAGTTCAGAAGAACAGCATTTATCTGAAATAGAAATCTTTTGTGACATATCTCTGTATATGTCTTTATCATCACTTTTGATCAATTTTAAGCATCCTTGCTAAATAAAAGTATTCATTTCTATAATTTCTTTCCCAAAAAACAAAAAAAAAAATATATACTGACTCAAGCTTTTGAATAGTATAGTGTATAATGTTACAAAAGCGTTTTATTTCAGATAAATGCTGATCTTTTGATCTTTCTATTCATCAAAGAATCCTGAAAAAAATATACTCAACTGTTTTCAATATTGATAATAATAATAAAAAAAAAATTCTTGAACAGCAAATTAGCATATTAGAATGATTTCTGAAGATCATGTCAATATTTGGCTGAGATACAACTATTTGAAAATCTGGAATCTGAGGGTGCACGATAGGAAATTTACAAAATATCTTCATGGAACATGATCTTTACTTAATATCCTAATGATTTTTGGCTTAAAAGAAAAATCTATAATTTTGACCCATACAATGTATTGTTGGCTATTGCTACAAATATACTTTATAGCTTTTGTGGTCCAGGGTCACATATATACATAATTATTATAATTTTTTTTACAAATTATTTCTGCTGTAAGTCTTATTTTGCAACCCTGTAGAATATCGAGTGTCGACTCAAGGTGTCCTTACCCAGTGATCTTGGGGCAGCTTTGACTGACGGGGTCGTGTTGTGCCATCTGGCCAACCACGTACGTCCCCGATCCATACCGAGCATCCATGTACCCTCACCGGCAGTGGTGAGACACTTTCTGGGTTTATTTTAGTTTTTGTGTACGTGCATAGGATTGCATCGGCTTCATGTTTTCTTTCCTTCCAGCCCAAACTGACGATGGCCAAGTGTCGACGTAATGTAGAGAACTTCCTAGAGGCCTGCCGCAGAATTGGAGTTCCTCAGGTATTCTTTAAAACCAAATTAAGAAAAAACGTCTGTTTCATATTTGCTTCAAACCTAGCATCTCTTGCTGTTTCCTCTAGTGCCTTCAAGTGTAATCGCTAATACTACTAACTCTTTCTCTCCCTCCATTCCCTTCCAATTTAAAACCATCAACCCCTCATTGTGTTTTATTTGAACGCTCCTTTTCCTCCTCGTCTTGGCTCTGCGGGCAGGATAGTTTGTGTTCAGCGGGTGACGTCCTAAAAGGGGAGGTGGTTTGTGTGTTTAGGCTGGTTGAGGCCTTGCTCTCTCTGGCACCGCCTCCCTTTCGCTCCACCCCTTCTTCCCAGCTGGCTGGATTTGCTCTTTTCTACCTGTCAATCATGTCGCTGCTATGCGCTCTCTACTGCCACCTGGTGCCAAGCCTTTAAATTGCACTTCCATGTTGCTCACTGCACTAAAATAGCCAATTGTTTGTCTTTGGGCAGAATTACACAATAGCTGGCGTTTACGCACACAGATGTTACGTTTATAGTGTTTTCTAGTGCACATAATCGATACTTCGCTAAGCTCCGCCCCCTCTGCGTATAGTTGCTTGCTTAGGCTTTATAAAATAACATTCATGCAAATTTCTTAAAGGGATACAATTTGGTTTAATGGTATTAATACATGGACTGGAAAGAATTGTGATGAAAGAATGTGCTGTTTCTTTAAAGGAAATTATTTGCACTACTGTTCCGTTTGAAGTCAGGAAGATTTTTTTTATATTTTCGGAAGAAAGTTTCTTCTGCTCACCGAGGCTGCATTTGTTTGACCAAAAATACAGTAAAAATAGTGAAATATTATTACAATTTAAAATAACTGTTTTCTATGTGAATATATATTCAAATGTAATTTATTTCTGTGATCAAATCTGTATTTTCAGCATCATTACTCCAGTCTTCAGTGTCACATGATCTTCAGAAATCATTCTAATATGCTGATTTGCTGCTCAAGAAACATTTCTGGTTATTATCAATGTTGAACACAGCTGTGCTGCACAATATTTTTGTGGAAACTGTGATGCATTTTATTTTTCAGGAAAGTTCAGAAGAACAGCATTTATTTGAAACAGAAATCTTTTGGAACATTATAAATGTCTTTACTGTCACTTTTGATCAATTTAATGCATCCTTGCTGAATAAAAGTATGGATTAAAATGAAACAAAATAAACAAAAGTCTCATTTGATGGTTTATAAACAGCAACAGCTGCTAAGATTGGATTGGTCGGTGATGTTCTAAGGTGGGGCTTAGCGAAGAATCATTTGAGAGTGTTTATATGCGTGTTTGTGAGTGTGTAGAGAGCACATTTCCATAGCAAAAATCAAAGTTTCATCGAAAAGCACAAAGTTGGGCGGATTCGCCCATTCAGCCTTAAACTAGACGACAGAACAAGCTGCCTGCTCCGTGAACGAGCCCTTTATTGTGCATCAGTACTGCTGCACTTTTCCCCAAAGTGTGCTGAAGTGTATGAGTACTCTGTGAGGCTTTGAGTTTCCGAGTGTTTGCGTGAATAAAAAGCAAAATGAGACAGAGTGGAGGATGCCAAACCATAAACTCCCCCTGTTTTATCCCTTTGTGCCTTACTGTGTGTATGTCACTGTCTTCCACCTCACGGTTAACACAATAGTTCACCCAAAAATAACAATTACTCACCTGCTTGTCATTCCGTATGAGTTGCTTTCTTCCATGAAACACAAAAGGAGAAATTTTGGCGTACTGTCTGAGCTTCTCTTTTCCATACAATTAAAGTGAATGGAGACGGATGTGTTAACTTACATGTTAACTCTGTTTTCTCAAACAGAATTATCATATGGCTTCAAAATGCTTGTAATATAGTGCACAAGTCATATCATAACAGCAGTTGATATTATATGGTGCTTTATTGTTCTTTTTGGAGCCTGACAGCCCTTGTACTCATTCACTTTCATTGGGCCTCGTTCATGAAAACATGAGTACATTTGAAGTAATTTGTCCGTAAAATGGGCCAAACATTTCACAAACCTCTGATTTGATAGTTAAACATATATATACAGTATATGCTAATGAATTCTAATCATTTGTGTCTCGGGTACGTGTGTGGTCATTCATAATTTAGCATAATCCCGCCCAGAAATTACAGTTACGTGAATTATTCGTACAGAAACGCCGACTGACTTCTCTGGTTTGTCTTCAGTATATTGCATAAATTCAAAATAAATAAATTCTAAATGATTAAATAAAGCATTAAGCTTGCAGACGAATATTGCTGGTGCTTAGAATAATTATAATCCTTAATAAAAAGAGAGAAAAAATACTGAAAATAATTTTTGCTTATCAATGAAGTTTATTTGTATGTTTTAACTATTTGCTTTAGTTGAAAACAATGAATTATTTTATTTAATATTATATTTGTTATAAATATTATTGTACTGTACACTACTATTATATTTATTCATTAAGCAGATGTTTTTATCCAAAGTGACTATTATTTTTATGATTTATTTATAATAATATTGTTGCAGTATTACATGTTATTAAGGTAAAGTGTTATCAAAATGCAGTGCTTAAAAAAATAATAAGAATATATTTTTTCATGTTAACAAAATTCTGCTTGTATTTCATTGAGTGAAGCTAATAATGTGGAAAAAAAGCAGTAAAGCATTAAGCTTGCAGACGAATATTGCTGGTGCTTAGAATAATTATAATCCTTAATAAAAAGAGAGAAAAAATACTGAAAATCATTTTTGCTTATCAATGAAGTTTATTTGTATGTTTAACTGTTTGCTTTAGTTGAAAACAATGAATTATTTTATTTAATATTATATTTGTTATAAATATTATTGTACTGTACACTACTATTATATTTATTCATTAAGCAGATGTTTTTATCCAAAGTGACTATTATTTTTATGATTTATTTATAATAATATTGTTGCAGTATTACATGTTATTAAGGTAAAGTGTTATCAAAATGCAGTGCTTAAAAAAATAATAAGAATATATTTTTTCATGTTAACAAAATTCTGCTTGTATTTCATTGAGTGAAGCTAATAATGTGGAAAAAAAGCAGCTGGGACTTTGTTAAATGTCTCCTTTTGTGCAGAAAGTAAATCATACACATTTGAAATGATTTAAGGTGTGTAAAGAACATCAGAATTTTACTTTTTGGCTGAACTAACCCTTGAAATATCCCTGCAGTTATCAAGCATGTTGTCAGTCGTGTTACTCGCTGAAATAACAGCCCTCATCAACCAGTACATGCCTGTTGTTAATGAATAGCTATACAGTGTAATATCTTCCTAACACACTTAGGAAACTCAGCAGCGGTCGCAGAGAGTGTGAGAGCATTTGTCTGTCAGATTTGTGTGTCTGGTTTTCCTGCAGTCTGACTGTTGTCCTCCTCTGCTTTTCTACAATAAAATCTAAACTCATGTATCCGCTGTAGATGTGTGTTTCATCACTAGTTAAGTTGTGCGTTTGAGTCTGAGAGTCGCAGCTTTATATTGGATAGATATATGGCAGCTTAGTTTGATTTATCGCTCATGTTTTTAGCATGATTTACATGCCCTGTTTTGATCTTTAGGTTAAGGGCTTTGTTCAGATCACTAACTCAAAGCATGTGCAATAACAGCCTCTACTAATACTTCAGTTCATTTATAGTGTCAGACTAGTTGACGCTGCGTTCTTGGTTTGAACGATTTTTCCATTTCTCTTCTTCTCCTCCTCCATCGTTCTTTATTGTCATGATTATAATTTCTTTATAAGTTAAGTTCTTCCTTAGTTGTACCTTATCTGCTTAAAATGAACATTTACTGAGAACGTGTTCACCCTCAGGCCAGCCGAGATGTAGATGAGTTTGTTTCTTCATCAGATTTGGAGAAATGTAGCACTGCATCAGTGTCTCAGCAATGGATGCTCTGCAGTGAATGGGTGCCGTCAGAATGAGAGTCCAAACAGCTGATAAAAACATCACAATAATCCACAAGTAATCCACAGCACTCCAGTCCATCAGTTAACATCTGGAGAAGACAAAAGAAACAAATACATCAAGACGTTTTTAACTAAAACACGAGTCCATAATAACGCTTCCTCCAGTGAAAAAGTGTTCTGGTGTGAATCAGGAGAGAAATCTGCACAGATCAAGCAGCATTTAAACAGCTCTAAACAAATATGTGGCTGGATTTTGATGTGAGAGACAACAGGAGATGCACTTTTTCACTGAAGGAAGCGTTATTATGGATTATGGACACGTATTTGAGTTAAAAACGTCTTAATGCTGGATGTGTTTCAGCTTTTGTCTTCTCCAGATGTTAACTGATGGACTGGAGTGCTGTGGATTACTTGTGGATTATTGTGATGTTTTTATCAGCTGTTTGGACTCTCATTCTGACGGCACCCATTCACTGCAGAGCATCCATTGCTGAGACACTGATGCAATGCTACATTTCTACAAATTTGATGAAGAAACAAACTCATCTACATCTTGAAATTTTCCTTTTTGGGTGAAATATTCCTTTGATCATTTCATTTTTTAAAGTTATATTAATTTTATAATTTGTTTCTCCATTGACACCGTTTTCATCCCTTTTTTTTTGTTCGCCCCTGCTCTGTGTGTATGTGTTTGTGTGTGTGTGTTTGTTTGTGTTTGTGTGTTTGTGTGAGTGTGTTTGTGTTTGTGTGTTTATATGTGTGTTTGTGTGTGTGTTTGTGTGTCTGTGTGTGCGTGTTTGTGTGTGTGTGTGTGTGTGTGTGTTTGCGGCCGCAGAACCAGCTGTGTCTCCCCCTGCACATCCTGGAAGAGCGAGGTTTGCCTCAGGTGGCCGGGACAGTTCGTGCACTCCTGGATCTGGCTCCTCCGAAACACATGCCGTCCCCGAGCACGACCCCGACCGGCCCCAGCGCCGCCTCCCCCCTCGCTCTGTAGCAATCTCCTCCCAGCAGGCCCAAAGATCTTTAAGACTCCTTTCTGTTCTTGAGTGCCTCATGAACGGTTCTGTAACGGTAACACACTCACACACTACCTGCTCAATGAACACACACACTCTTCAAACCCCAACCAGCCCTCAGACAACAGAGGAGAGCAGAGAAGAGACGACTGACCAACAGACAAGTCCACAGACTTCTTTGAAGCTATATTTCTATTTCGTTTTAACAGTTTTACACTTTAATATCTCTATTGTGGGTGGTGTTTATTTTTATTTTGTATTATTATTATTATTGTTATTATTATTATGATGTGGGAATGAGAGTTGGCCAAATCTACCCAAGCTTGCATATCTGAGAGTTACATTGGCTGGTGGTTTAATCTCACAAAACCTGCCGGTCACATTTCACCCTGAAATAAAAACAAGATATTATACTTGCAGAAATTCAAACACATTTTTTAGGACCTTTAAGATTTTTGTGACATTATTTTCATGACAAATTCTCATTATCACATTGCAAAAATATAATGCAAAGAAATGTATGTATTATTTAAATAAAAAAAGTTCAACTTTAAATAGTACAGAATTTTCTTTGCATTATAATGCAGTTAAAAATATTTAAAAACAGGTTGTTTCATTGCATTATAAAGCTGAGAAAATGATTGAAACATTTTTTAGAACCATTAGGATTTTTGTGACTATTTTCATGACATATAAAATAAATTCTCATTATCACTATGCAAAAATGTAATGCAAAGAAAATTATGTATTATTTAAATAAAAATTAAGCTTTTTTTCATTTATATAATGCAGACTTTTCTTTGCATTATAATGCAGTGAAAAAATATTTTAGAATATGTTGTTTATTGCATTATATGCTAATAAAAGTATTGAAACATTTTTTTTAGGACCATTAAGATTTTTGTGACATTATTTTCATGATGTACAAAACAAATTCTCATCATCACAATGCAAAACTGTAATGCAAAGAAAATTATGTATTTAAATAAAAAAATGTTAACCATTTCATTGTTCATTTAAATAATGCAGAAATTTCTTTGCATTATAATGCAGTAAAACAAATTAAAACAGGTTGTTTTATTGCATTATAATGCTACGTAAAGTATTGAAACATATTTTTTAGGACCATTAGGGTTTTTGTGACAATTTTCATGACATGCAAAACAAATTCTCATCATCACCATGCAAAAATATAATGATATATTATTTAAATTGACAAGTATTTTAATTTATTAAATTAAATTTATTAAATTAGCTATTGTACATACATTTGTACATTTAATTCATAAGGATTTAAATAATCGTTGTATTGCTGTATCTTTACCGTATTACAGTAATGAGAATAACTATTGATTAATGAGAATTATCATTAATCAAAATTATAATAATAATAATGATATAATAATATCAAAAAATTATCAAAAAATTATCAAAAAATATCCAAATGCATCATGTTACTGAGCATTATTTTTCATGAAAATAATGTCATAATGCAAAAAATACATAAAATCTTTAAGAAAAACAAGGAAAGAAGAAATAAGCTTCATGTAGTCTTTTTCTTTTTTATTTTAGGTGAAGTGTGGCGTGTTTTGGTGAGATTCGAGCAGAAAAACACTCGAAAGCAGCGTGTAAATGACTGAAAGACACTAATTCACAGTGGTCCTAGATTAACAGACTGAGATGTGATCCGCTGAGCGCTTCGGTCACGAGTTTTAGTGTGTAGCCACAGGGTTTTGTTCTAACGACACTTAGTATTACAATCGCACGAGAAGAAAACTATTAAAACTGTAAGAGCTCACAGACTTTATTGACCTTGTAAAATTGAGAGGTTTATTAGTAATATAGCGAGGTTTAGCATGATGGGCACAATAAAAAAATGTAAAAAACGATATATGTAAAGATTTTTGAAACACAGTAAGTGAATGAAACACTTATTCTATTTTGATAGCCTTGGTGGAGCTGATAGAGCGACGAGGGCTGATTTCTGTTGCTGTTGTGTGTTTATATGTAACTGGTCTCGCATGCGAGGGATTCTGGGAGTTTGGACTGAAATGGGACGGCAGTATAAAAGCTGTTTTTTATTTTATTTCCTTTTTATTCCGATTGTTACGTTGCCACGGTTGCATGGCTTTGCTTATGATTTGTCTGCCAACACAACACGCATCTCATCCGTGGTTTAGAGCTGGACGTGTGTGTGTGTGTCTGTGTGTCTGTGTGTGTGTGTGTGAGT